CGTAATAGGAATAATATATGCAATTTATTACATCAATATTTAAATAAAAAATGTTCTTATGATCAATGTTTTTCTAAAAATATGTATAATTCTGTCTTTATTCAAACATATATTAAAATCTGGTTTTGTTTGCATTAATATACTTAAATCTCTCTTGAAGGGTAGCGCCACTGGATTATATTGTTTTAAATTATATTATACTTCGTTTTTATATTTGATATATTTTTTTATTTATACTTAATACTACTGCTGATTTTCAAATAGGATAGTTTGAACTATGTTATATCATCGTGATTAGTTGATTGGGATAGTAAATTTCAATTTAAATGTGTTAGATTGCAACATCTACAAATATAATATAAATCTATATCATTTTGCGGTGTTCTCAAACTGGTTCGTAGTGCCCGAACTAAATATTAATGGATGCACTAAAATACGTTTTTCTCTATTATACAATTAATTTTTAAATGTCACTAATTAAAAAGTGGTATAGCAAGCAAAAATATAATGATATATCAAGGTTATAGTGTTGGTGCGATAAATTTTAAAACAGTAATAATTTACAAGTAAATGTTAATGGAATGTAAATTTCTTTCAATGTTTAAAAAAACATAAGTATGCATTTTATATTTTAAAATAATTATACACCGGGTGGATAAACGATTAGCATCATGTTAATAATGCTTTATAAAGTATCTAAACAAATTTCCCTTTGTTTAGATACCCATGTAACTGACCCAGATACCATGCGTGATGCAATAGGTTCATCGGTCCCGATCGTGATCCCTGGTTTAAATGTTCTTGCAAGGCGGCCTCGCGTCGAACGGAGAATGCTTTAAAGCGCGAGCGGAAGCGGCGACATCTTATGATGCCAATACCAACGAACTTAAATAAGCATATAACTCTGCCTCCAGGTCCTTCAAATAGGAGATTGCTTTAACCTCCTTGTTCTCCAAATTAGTGGAAACCATTATTAACGGTCAGCTCCTGAGGTATCTAGAGGGCCACGAGATGATTATCATGAAAATATATTCCTTTTAAGAATTGGTACACTGTTTTCTTGAATTTACAATGAAAGACGTAACGATGGCGCCAAATATATGTGTTGTTACATCAAGGATCTGTACTACTACTTTTGAGCGTAGGACCGGGATAACGTACCGCGCAATTTGTAGGACAATATGTCTGTTAAATTACATGAATATTAACTAAGTCAAAAAAAAATCAGCTGGTTAGTAATCATTTATGATGACCTCGTTATCGATACATGTCGGAAAGACTCTTTGATCAAACCATAGATTTTGTAGGACAAATATTTTTTTCGAATAATTTAGATAATTGTCTTGAGATTGAACAAAAAAAATTCAGTTAGTAATTTGAGAATCATCAAATCAACATATTTTATCCTTGCTACTTCTGTTAGCTACCACAATCGAGAGTTTCGTACAGGAAATTATTGGGCGTCTCATCAAAATAAAGCTACTCACGGAAAATTAGCTTGTTAGTAATCAAGTGCAAAAATGGGCGATGGATCCTGGACTAATGTATTAAGATCTCTAAATAATTATCTAGCGTAGCAGAAATACGACTTAAACACGGTAATATATCAAATTCCAATGTCATATTTCCCGTATCATCAGCCGGTAACGATAATTATCGTAAGCATCACGTTATTATAATAATTAATGCCAGTGCCACAGACTAAAAACAACAGTTATAATAGTTGAACTTTGTTAAACGGAACTCGGTGTAAGTAGGGTTGGGCTACAGATGAATAATTTTTTACACAAATAAATTAAATACCTATTTAATGAATTAACTATAGATCCAATTAGCACCATAAAAGGTGTTTAACCCTTCAATGTAAGCTAAACGAGTATAAATATCGCAGCTAAAGTTGGCCTCTATTTGAGAACGGCTTGATTAACAAAACATAATAATATTACCATTTAAATGGATACAATTAAGGACGTCGAAGAAGGAAAAATAGCTTGGCTAGTATAATTGATTATTAGCAAAAACTTGCAGATTGAAACCCAGACGTTGAAAAAAAACTTGATAGATAAAGATATATTTCTATGATTATCATTAACTTATAATGTTTCTAGTTTCATATTTATCCCATAATTGATTTTGTATATATTTAATATACATGATATTTTAATTATTATCCAACTTGGAATAGGGCATTATTTTAATTTCATTCCACTTCATAGTTCATGTCCACTTGCGATTTAACGAAGCAAGTAAATACTTATTATCTTATAATAATATGCATTATCTTTATAATAGTTCTCGTTATAATGACATACGTACACATGTCACATCCTTGAGTTACGGTTGTGTGACGTAGATAATATAGCTTGTTATTTTGTTCTTATTTTTTTAAAAGTTTTATAAATTATGATATTAACCAGAATTTTAGGGACATAAAATAAGTATAAAAGAATAACGTGAAACTTTACTTAAACTTAGAATATTTTTTGTTATGAATGTAATTAATAATGTTCTAATCTCTATGAAAGCGATTATACTTGACAAATATTTTTTGTTACAAATATTCTCGTATCATAATGAACAAAATTTTTTTAAGTGGACGAAGTTCTTATAAAATTATAATTTACGTGTATTGCCGGAAAATCTTCGCTTTTAACCTAAGTGTTTTAATATATTGTAACAAACACCATTTACTTGAATTGTCTTTGCTTGTACGAAGACATGTGTTACTGTCATCGAGGGATTTTGTTTGATCTTAATAAAAAAATTACAATCTGTACCTAAACGAAAATCTGGAAATAACTAATCGATTTAATGTTCATAATAAGATACTAAGAGTCTTGGAATACGGGCTAAAAAAATATAAGACTATAGAAAATGGTAAAAATATCTTCTATTTGGCTTGGTAATGTAAAATACCAGAAAATTAACAAACACATCGAAACTTAACAAAAATAAGAAATATATTTATACAAACTGAACAGTAGAAACCAGAAAACAACTGAAAAATCAATAATCTCCTATCAAACAATCTATTCACGAGAATCTGATTGACGAACCTGTTCTTGAGCATAGATTTCGACTTAAATGTCTTCTTGGAATATAGCAGAGTTAAGATAAGGCGATTATCGATCAACGGAGAAGCAGTCGTTAAATCGAGTATTGAATCTCTTTTTAGAATACAAATTTTAACTCAAAACTCGTATTAAATCAACAATCAACGCTTAAAATGCAACTTAGAACACAGGCCTTAGTATAACACTATAACATATAATTTGTATTGTCATCGATCAAAAATGATATTAATAACATTAATAGCGGCAATTGTACTATTCAAAGAATATTCTGTACTCATTATAATTGTTATGATAACAAAACATAGATAACGGTGTGACTCGAAGGTTTTTTTAAACTTTCCCTGAACCTTTAAATGCATTGAAGATAATTTTATGATAGCTATTTCATTTTACTGTCAATGGTAGAACTTTAATATTCAAAGCTATTTCTCTATACTCTATTAAGTTAATTCATGTTATAAACGATATAAATATAAATTTTGCACGGCGTAGATATCAAGTAACTTTATTATCAGTGTCTTTTATTTTTTGTAAATATATTCTTTGTTATCGTATTACATACCTCCTCACCTTGAAATACTGCATTCAAGTAAGGGCTTCGTAAACATTTGTCAGATTGCTAGTAACTGATATTAGACGTTTTAAATTCTTTTGTATTAAAATGTTCGTAATTACAGTCCGCTGGCTCTATAAACCAATATTAGCCACCAAAACGAGAAACTGCTGCAGCTGATAGATTAAAATTTAACTTTTATTTACACACATTTTTTAATTTTTAATCTACATATAAATTGTGCAATTTCTATAATAATGATGTTTGGTAAAATATGGACGTGAGCTAGAATGCTGTAGAAACGAGCATAAAATTTAAAAAAAGTAACTCAGAAAAAAATTTAGTTTAATTCTTACCTTTACCTTGCTAAATCAATTAACAAACACGCCAATTCACTACCGTATTATAATATTATAAATACATTTTATTGCGAGGAAGTATTTTTCTGAATATACTCATGACTACAAACAGTTAAGTTCGTTGACTGCAAAGATTGACAAGTTGGCAGGTGGGTTGTGATTCAAAATGATAAACAATGCTTTTTGCACAAGGCAGTAATGCTTTTTACAATGTAGGCGTTGCTTTAAACAATGGTTTAATAGAAGTACTATTATTACGGAGACGAATTTGATGTTAAATTAAATTTTATTATTTATTAGAATGCATTGAGAGTATTTGATGATGATTGTTCAGGCATACCACTGATATAGATGGAACTCAACCAAGAGCTGGTTGGCCAGCATCGTAGTTGTGTTGTGTTCGGCCTATGACTAATCTGGAAACTGTCTGCGTCTATTTCTTTAGGTATTTTGATCGTAGGCAGGTCATCGGCCTCCGGTGCCTCCAACCCAAAAAATAATTGATTATCGAAAAGCGAACCAAGGACCAGACCGGTGGGTTTCAGCCCGTATGTCCTGTTAAAAACCTTTCTTTAGTTTTGTAACCAACGAGCGATTTCTACCAGTCAACCCAAGAATGATAATAAAGATACCATGACAAAGTGTAAAAAGTGAGAGATTAAGGTACTATACTTAGATTAACATAAAAGGAATAGGAATGCTTAAACAAAAACCTTATTTTACTAAACATTTTTTTTTAAATAAAGGCTTTTACAAAATTTCCTAGTAGATCTAATTAGCCTAACTTTAACTCCGTACGTACTCACATAAAACTTATATAAACTTATTTAAACCTATTAATAGGCTAAATTACCCAGTTTCACCGTGTTTTTTTTAATAATTTCGTTTATTGTGGCAGAATCTTTTATCTAATACAAATAATACTGAAACTAATATTTTTTATTGTTTCCAGAAAAAAAAACAATCCTCAACAATGTCTCGGGACTTTTCAAATCAGGCCACCTCACTGCCATAATGGGGCCATCAGGTGCTGGAAAATCGTCGCTTTTGAACGCACTCACTGGATTCTGGTAAAATATAACGTATTATTAGCTTAAGAAACGAAATAAATGCCAAAATGAACAAACCATGAATATGTAATGATATAAAAAGTTTAATCATGTTTACGGATGCAACAATACTCAAAACCTTTTTAAAAAACAAAGCATAAACAGAAATACTGTAATAATTTACGAGAATTCAAAGTTATAATAAAACAATCTTACTTATAGTTCAGTTATCATTCATATGCTTATATTAACCAACCAACAATAAACTTGTTAAGTACCTTTAAGGTTTTTACCCTGTTACAAATATTTAATTACAAGGAGATGATTAACCTTGCAAACTTTTTACAGCGTATAATATAATTAATTCATAAAACCTCTGCTTTATAAAGTACAATATATGCACATAATATCCATTTTGAATTTCCGGTAAATATTAAAACGGAGGTATAGTTAGCCAAATTTTTTTTTTTTAATTTTTAAACATGTATCATGTACCAAGGAATAATTGTCTTCTAGTTACCCACAACACAGTGCTTCCCTAGTGTGGGGACTAGCGATTAATGAATATTGTCACAACCCTTTTTGTCAAATAAAGATTTTATTATTATTAAAAATATAATTTCAGTTTAAACGGTGTAGAAGGCACAGTCAGAGCTGGTGAAGCAGTTTGTAAAATAAGAAAGGATATATCGAGCAGCGCGATACGAGCTTATAGAAAGAAATCCTGCTACATCCTACAAGATGACCGCCTGGATCCGCTTTTTACAGTCAAAGAACTTATGGACTTCGCTGCGGATTGCAAACTGGGGAACATGATCACTCCGAAACTAAAAAAAACTATAGTGAGTAACGTGACAGATGTCAGTCAACGTCAGAAATTAGATTATTTTCCATTTGAATCTCTTAGGATTAAAATACTTTAGTAGCAGTTTTTGAAGTGAAAATTTCTTTAACGGCGTTGTACACTTTTTTGGAATGGGTAAAAAATGTTTAACTCGCGTCAGGACAAATTCGTAAGACGGATGTTTTTTTAAAGGATTATGAACCTTCGTGCTATATAGTTACGGTTTTAATTCATTTGTCTCTTGTCAATACATCAAGGTTTAATTTTGCGAAACGTCTAAAGCTTTATTATTAACGATTTGGTCAGACTGACGCACATGTCTGAGTTATTCGCGTCAGGACATGTGACCTGATCGAAAATTCGTAAGACGGATGGAGAGTAGACAGCTGGCGCGGCGTATTTAATGTAATACAAATTGTCATGTATGTGTACGATAGCGCAATAAAAATAAATATTGTATCCTACCACATAAAAGATTGTACTATTATACTGATAATTAAAACAATTAACTAACCATTCCAAAATGTCAAAAATGCACAACGTTAATTGAGTGCAACCCGTCGTCTTTTTTTTTAATTACAATTTTTTAACAGATTTTAAAAAAGTATTATGACTTATTTAACAGAAAACAATTCTACATAGGTACTCGGAAATGTCCTATACACCAGTCCAGAGAACAATTGTGACTTATGGCCCAAATTTCTTCTTATATTAAATTTATATATCTTAACGACAACCATATTTTATTTTCTTAATATACAACACGTCATTGTGACCGGTTTTGTATTTCTCAAAGATAACGGTCAGCGAATGTAAGCAAGGTACGATTTAAAAATGCATACTGTCTGCACTGCTGTTGCCAATGTTATGTTAATTGTATAGATTTCAGACTCTGCTCTAACCATGAGATTTGCGGTCGAGACTTATTGATAAGTGTGAAGAATTAATTACGTGTTTTATTATAGGGTATCAGACTTAGCGCCTCGACTTTGAGACACCCCTTACTGTTCACTGCGCAAATTGATCATGCGTATGGCATTCCATATATGCGTTTTAAATACGGCGGATTGATATTTATTCACTAAGAGCAAAATAAGTTTAATGGGTCAAAAGTAGTCTTAAATAAAGAATAGCATTTATTTATAGCGTGACTTTTTTACAGATATCAGATATATTGGAGACACTCGGGTTAAAAGGCCACGAGAACACAAGGGCTGGCAATCTCTCTGGCGGTCAGAGAAAGAGGTTGTCTATCGCTGTGGAGCTAATTGACAACCCTCCAGTCTTATTTCTGGATGAACCAACAACGTATGTAGATATATCTATTTCTTAACTAGGATAGCAAAGATGTAGGTAGCTAGTTCTAGGAGGTGTGCATTTTAAAAGCCTTAATGTCCTCCTGTCCTGAGCGTCATGATGCGCCTGAACACGTTGTGTTTTTTTTTAAATTACTGCCCGGATATTTCCATCTATGACGATGCAGCTCGGTGAATTGCATACTATCCATCGGGACATTCTCTAGAGAGAGGTAGTGATTTTCCTTTGCCTTCTACGCCAGGCTGTTGAGAGGTTTTATAGTTCCTCAAGGTCCCTATATCCTCTGCTACTCTGGTATACCAGGTTATCATATCCACTCAATATTCGGCGTTGTTGGCTAGTTTAGCACTACCCAGAGGACACGTGCAGGGTGTTTGAATTGTAATTGCTGCGGATGAGAGTGACTCCATTCGCCGATCACAGGGGACATCGAAACGATCGATCAATATCTAGAAATTGTTGTAATTAAATGGCTATTTTTTAAACAAGAGTATTTTGTCTTTGTTCTAGTGGTCTCGACAGTCTTACAACAAATCAGTGTATCAGCATGCTGAAGGAACTCGCAAAGGGAGGACGCACAATTGTTTGCACTATACATCAACCTACAGCACTGATATACAAAATGTTTGATCAGGTATGAACATTATAATTATAAGATAATGAGACTTAAAAGTTTTCTATAATTCATGTTCCTACATAATTTTTTTTAAATATTTTATTGAGTGTTGTACTTTTTGTATAAATTTTAGCGACAATTTTAAATACGTGTTGTTAGGGTGACACGTCATTTGTTCAGTAAATATAAAATTTTAAATAATCAAAAAGAATAAAAATGTTCTATTGAGAAAAATGTATTAGATGCTTTTCTTAACAAACAATTTTTTTTTTACCAATTTCTTAAAAATAGGTTCTCAATTCCATTGATTCAATTTCAACCCCAAAACTCTTGCATTAATGGACGAATTTTTGTTATTTAAAGTCGACATTAATTTTTAAAAATAATTACCTACAGGTGTACATACTTGCTGAAGGAATGTGCATTTACGATGGGAATAGTGAAAGCACTGTGTCATACTTATCATCTATGGGTTTTAATTGTCCCGTGTACCACAACCCTGCTGATTACAGTAAGTACAACATGTAATAACAATATTTTGAGTTATCTTGCTATTTCAATAAAGTTTAGGTAAAAATACGTTATCATAGAAATAAAATAAATCAATTATTACCATCGACAAACGGCTACGAACTAGAGACTCTAAGATAATTCGTCAACCGATGTAATATGATTTATCTTATTTAGGTACTAAGTTTAATAATACTAAGTGGATTTGTAGATATATTTTTTCACGTGCTTAGTGTGAGATGTTAATTTTAAAAAACTACTTTGGTATTGTGTAATCTAATACCAACCTTGACGTGCAACTACGAATACCGCCGGTACGCTATAATTCCCAAAAGCGATAATGATCCGAATATTGAGATTTTGTATCCAATTTCGATGTGATATCAGGACATGGACGGGATTCCCTCACTTCACTTAATCTTCACTTAATCTCCTGATGAATCATGAGACTTACGATTTAAATCTCTTATTATATTAACATTATATGACTATTACTTAAATGGCCCAATATATTACTATGACAAATTATTTATGTATTTAAATTGTATAACCAAAAAACCATCCTGTCTTATAACAAAGAAATCAAAAAGGTTTATTGGTGGTACTATAGGATTAAGAGCGGGCTATAACCAAAATCACTCATCGTAGATTTGATTTGATTTTATGACTGACTAAAACGTAAGAGGAAAGAAAAGAGACGCAGAATATGTATCGCGCTAAATCTCGTTTCTGACCTCACCCCGAGTATTATTACTTACAGCGGGATGGCGATGACGCCGCGTGCCAAGTCACCTATATCGTATATTTACAAGCAATATAATCGAAATAAAACGGAGTGAAAATTGGAGTCTGTCCTTTGTTAACTTGATAATAAACCTTTTTTTTTTCACTTCGGCTACTGCTACTATCTATTTCAAACCCCTAAGTGATAAGGGGTGTCCGCCCCAAAAAAATATTTTTTTATTTCTACATTAATTAATTTCTGTTTTTAATTTTTTATGATACAGCATACAACCCCTAATTTTCACCCCTCTGCGAGATACCCCATTTTTTTTATAGTAGATAGTTATTTTTATTGAACTAAAAAAATGTTTCCTAGAAATAATATACATGGCAAAACAACGTTTGCCGGGTCAGCTAATAGTTTCTAAATAAAATGTAAATAAAGAATATTAGATTACATGATGTGTACCTACTATGCTTAATCTAAATTGTTTTTATAGCAAATGTATTAGTATCTAAATATAATAAATTACAAAAATACAAAAAACTTATCGCTTACAAGATCACCATAATCGTATTATAGATAACAATTCCAGATATACGGAAACCAATTTTAAAAACAACTAATTTAACAATGTACAGGAAATACCTGTCTATATGAATTCATATAAATTATTCATATTTTTGTTGCTTTACAATAATTATATGACGATACGAGTCATTATAAAATATTTTCGCTGGACATATTATACATGTATATAAAAGACATTATAATGCTGGTTCATCAGATGTTGTAAACATAATAACAAAAAACAACTATCGGTTGATATGATAACTTAAAAGAAAATAAACATTCGCAACAATTCTTTGCCCTTCTTATTATTAGAATAAACTTGGTTGCTTTCTGGACAATAAAGCGCTGAACAACCCAAAGTTAACGTGAAAATTTACATAAAAAACTTTTCCACAGAATTATCTTGCCGGACTGAGCAGTGTTGGCCTAGTGGCTTCAGCGTGCGACTCTCATCCCTGAGGTCGTAGGTTCGATCCACGACTGTGCACCAATGGACTTTCTTTCTATGTGCGCAGATAACATTCTCTCGAACGGTGAAGGAAAACATCGTGAGGAAACCGACATGACTTAGACCCAAAAAGTCGACGGCGTGTGTCAGACACTGGAGGCTGATCACCTACTTGTCTATTAGATTGAAAATTGATCATGAAACAGATTTAGAAATCTGAGGCCCAGACCTAAAGAAGTTGTAGCGCCACTGATGTATTTTTTATCTTGACTTAATTAGTACTATTTATCTAAATTATCCATGAACTCATATAAATCGGTCCAGCGGTTCATAGACCAGTGGCAAACAGACATGACAGTTTTATCTAAATAAAATATTAAAGGACTAAAGAAGTCGTTTTAATTGTGTTGTTCAATGTTTAAGACGTGAATAGGTCCATTACCGCTTTATTTACAGTTTTAGAAATCGCGAACGGAGAATATGGAAAGTTCAATGAACTGATGGCAGCGCGGTGTATCCGAGATCAAAAGATTGATAAAGTCCTTCCACATTCAGAGCAAGAAACTCCCTCACCTCTATCTTTCGGAAAGATGTCAATCATGGTCAGTCAGCCTCATGAGGCTTACAGGTTTGGAGTACTCTTCAAACGGTGTCTGAAACAACAGTATAGAGATTGGGTCAGTATATGAATATCAACTAATTCTTATACTATATCTAATTTAGGTTTTTTTAATTATAAAAAAACAATACATTCTTTTATCGTAATCGGATGTCTGACAGAAAATATAACATGTTATATTTTCTGGTTTTTTTTTCTAATTTTAATCTTCTCATTTTTCTTTTAAATTAATGAAACTTTAACTTTAACAGTAAGAATATTGCTACATATTATAAAAGTCAAACAATCAATGACCACGCTAGAAAGCGATGGACAAAACCGGCACCAACTATGAATTTATTATTACAGACTGTGACGCATCTAAAAGTGATATTACATCTATGCCTGGGTATCATTCTTGGATTGGTATTTGATAATTCAGGCAACGATGGATCAAAAACATTTAGTAATCTTGGCTTCCTCATCATATCATCTACCTATCTCTGCTACACGTCTGTTATGCCAGCTGTTCTAAGATGTACGTATTTTTTATTTTATTTATAACTAGCAACGCAGGCCGGCTTCGCACGGTCAACCGTGAAAAATTATATACCTAAAGTTTCCTCTTGAATAATTCTAGATTGAAGTGAAAACCGCAATAAATTCCGTGCAGTAGTTTTCAAATTTATCACGAACAGACAGACATTTTGCTATCTTGTTTAGTTTGTTTTTAAATATATTACAATCAACAATGGTATCTCTATAACACGAATGTCAAGGGAAATGCAAAAAAAATGAGTAATGAGTTTTCGACTTAACAATAACTTCGAGATACATATGATTAACTGCTGAAATTTCGACTTACAGAGGCGTGATTTCTAAGCGTATTTTTCGATTGTATGCAATGATTCATTCATTGCACGTGTATAAGACAAAAACAATAGATTAGAAGCCCCAAACCCGAACATTCATTTTGGATTTAATTGCTAATATTTTGGGGAATTCCAAGTAAGATGTGTCATTATATTTTACCAACTACGACTTATGAAGTCTCCTTTTATAAATTCGGTCAATATACAAAGTCTAATTAATTCGAGATTTAAGGGTTCAGCGGTAGGGAATAGCATTTTTTTCGACTTACTGAGGATTTCTACTTAACGAGGTTAAAGTTATAGAGATTCCACTGTATTTAAGGAAACTTTTAAAATTAAATTTCAGATTAAATACAAAACTTGTGTGTCCTTAAGTATTTTGAAATTCAAATGGAAAATGCAGTAGTGTCTTTTCAGCAGAACTTTGTTTTAGTTATTTATACCTGCATAGTTCATTAACCTTGGCTTCCAGTAAGGTCGCGTGTTTATACCTACGTCTTTGAAACAAAATTTAAAAGGTGTAACCGCTTAAAATTTGCTCTCAATATAAAATCACCAGAAAAAACACGTACATACTTATTTCATTAAAAAAATCACTTAATGTATAAATAACTACCTATGCGTCGGGTTTCCTAATGACGACCACGACAGGTTGATAAAAAAATCACCTAAAATAATATTTAATTGCATGTTTATTGAGTATGTGGAATTTATAAAAATGTATTGTGGCCCGTATCATGGATAATTCCATGAAATTGATCATTGCACGGAATGATTCTATTTCATCTGATGGTCACCAAAAAGAAAAAGTTTCAATATTATTGGATCATAAACGCTTAACGATATTTCAACCGACTTTAGCCGTATCGTTGATATAATATCTGAAATGAGTTGGTTGGGTATAATGTAACTATTACTAGATTTTTCACGAATGATTGGCCATATCACGAAATGGCCATGCTGTTTGTATCGCTGAACGCTGAATCCGGTCTACGCTCTTGATTTGAGAGTCGGCAGTAAATGTATTTTTATTTTTTGGTACGTTTGAAGTGAAAATAATGTTACATGTATGTTTTGAAAAGAATTACTGTATTCATAACTAAATTAGCAATCACTTAAACACAAAAAACTTTAATATAAATGATATATAATATAGTTCTTTTCTGTTTCAGTTCCCGACGCTTTACCTGTATTAAAAAAGGAAAATTTTAATAATTGGTACGGTCTGAAAACTTATTATGCAGCTACTTTGGTTACCACGATTCCAATACAAGTAAGACTTCACCTTATAGTTTAAGTATACCTAACTACCGCGGCTATATTATAAAAAGATGAGAATTAAAAGACTACCGTAGTCATAGAAGTTGCCACATAGTAACTTCAAATTTGTACATTTTATTATATAATTCCTTCTTCTAAATTATTTACTAACCTACCAGTATGTTTCTACCAAATACTTTTCTACACATAGGATACCTAATTACTACCCTTTTATTGTCCTTCTATGTTAGGTAGGTACACGTAGTTTTTCTGTATTTCTTCCCTGTACGATCAAGACGTGCGCATAGCCACATAGAAAGAAAAAAGGAGGCACGACTCGTGTGGTCGTCTTTAAGTTTAATATACAATTAATAAATCGATCACCAGATACAGTTTATCAAGCGCAATATAAATTACGCAATAAGTAACCTATTAGTAAAAAAACGTTTTAAACAAATTAAATCGATTTTTCAGATATGGTACAGTCTTGTGTACTCCTTGCCAGCATATACGATCACCGGACAACCGCTAGAACTTTCTCGATTTGTCATGTTTGTCCTCATCCTTGCCAACGTGACTCTTTTGGCTGATGCGATAGGCAATGTCATTGGATCCTGTCTGAACCCTATTGTAAGTATCTAAAAACATTCCATCTTTACTATCCAAGTCCTCAACAGAAATACCAATTTAATTCACAAGCAACGAAACCAGATGTAATATAAAATTATGTTTTATTTCAGAATGGAACATTTTTTGGCGCAATTATAACGTGTATTATGCTCGGTTTTGCTGGTTTCCTGGTTCTGCTGCCTCATATGCACCCCATCATGCAGTTTATATCATATGGCTCTTTTTTGAGACACGCCTTCGAGGGTTTGGTCTTATCTATCTACTCATATGGACGAACACCCATTTACTGCCCCGACAGTGTAGGTTACTGTCATATGAGGTGAGTTTGTATGTGGTTTATATAATGTAAATTGTAAAAAAAAGATTTGGAGAATGCTTTAAAATTAGTTTGGTTACATGTGACTTACTGTATTTCCTAAAAATTAATTTACTTGATTATATTAAAATGTTCTTTTTTTTTCCACAGGTATCCTAAAGAACTAATGAAGGAGCTTAGTATAAAACCAGACAACTATTGGACGGACGTCGCCATACTCCTATCAGAGATTGTTGTTTTAAGAATAGTTGGTTACTTGACACTGAGACGTATGATCAAAAAAGCTAATTAATACTGTTTGTGTATATAAAATGACTTTATATTGTCATAACACGCACCATGAGGTGACAACTATTTATTACAAATTTTGTATATTAAATTACAAAAGTTTTATAGTAATGTTATGGTCACTAACCAATTATTTTCTTGGACTTAACATTTATATTATTAAAGCCAGGTGCTAGAAGTGTTTATCATATAATAACTTTGCTCAAGTAAGAATAAACATACCAGTGGTAAGAAATTTAATTAGTACAATCTTAAGTGTATTTTATACTGTGTTTTCTTAAAGGAGCCATATCCTTACCTACAACTTGATAGAACTTAGTAGTATTCTATTAAAAATTCATCCTATAAGTTCATAATATAATAGAAAGTTACAACAAGTCTTTTATTTTTGAAGTTATACTTCTTTAGGCGCGTTATGAAAAATTGATGAGAGTGAAATTTTACGATGCGCGCGCACCGTGACACAAAATTAACAGAATGAAGTTGCCCACAGAAGATGCTGCGGCATTGGACATAATTTAAAAACAACATTCGAATAATAATAGAATTTATGTTACACTTAATGTAAGAGAATAATAATAAATATTTATTTATGTAATCTGAACTTTATTGACTATAATGACTCCTTTTCCAGTCTTTATTATTTAATTGTAATTAATTATTTGCCTGCAATCAAAAACTATTTTTAATAATGCCAAAGAAGTATAACTTCTTACGCGCGTACATAAGTACACGCACCCTTTTTTTTATATTGGTGTATAAATGACAATAAAATATGTTATAAATTAATGTGGATGGCCAACTATTTGTAGATAAGTAAATGTTTTGTATAGAATTAAGTGTGTACATAATTAGGTATTATTATTGATAGCTGATTCATTACTTTAATTATATAAGCAGGTGAATATATTAATAGTAACTTTGTGGTATAATGATTGGACACTAGGGCTTGTAGAACTTGTAATTTTTTATCAAAATAGTGTTTTACATAGTAATAGTAGTTACTATATTTAAATACTGGACCAACTAATCTAGTTGTTGGGTGAAAATTAACTAGTGGCTCTCAAAATCAAACGAAAATAAGAGGGATTTTTTTTTCATGTTCTTGCAATCTGATTGCATACATGACATGTTTCTATGTTAGTAAGTTTTAATAAATATTATTATTATATAAGTATGGATCTACTTTAAGTTTACACTGCACTTCTTTCAAACTGTGATTATTATGGCACTTACTTAAATATGTTATTAATTATTATTCTTTTACTAAAGATTTGTGTATTTATATTTACTATGGGTATATTTTAGTAAAACAAGTGTTTCAAGAAAATACCTGTGGTAAAAACACATTTGTAAATTTCACGATCGCGAATTTAGAAAAGTATAATACTTCGTATTTATTATGCATGATAGACAAAAACAGAGTCATATCATATTCGATGATATATAATATATATTTGCTACAACTTACTTTAAAAATATACCTATTGGATATTAAGTTGTAAAGTTAGTTAATAAAAATATGAAAGATACTATTGTTTTATTAATAAATTTTAATTATCAACAGGTTATACCTATTACGGTTTAAAACCTACTTATCAGCAATCCATGCAATCAGCAATATCAAATGTGTAATTAAATTTTGAAATTATACATCTTTATTCTTTAACAAGTTTCGACAACTACATTATTACTTACTAGTTACTAGTATTACCGATTATTACAAAGATATCGCCAATTAAATAGATGACATTTGACATCTGTCAGTTTTAGCTAAGAAGTGAGATTAATGTGAATCATGTAGTGAGGCAGATTAGAACATCGATAAAGCATAATGAATCGTAATAATTTTGTTACTGACTCTGGTACTGGTTTTATATAAAGGCTAGGAAGAGTAACTGCACATCAAAATTGTATTAAAAAATGGTAAGTTACTTTCAGATACGGATTGTGCGGCTGACTTTGCGGCGTATTATCGAATGTTACGGCGTATTAACGGGCAGCACTTCGGACCCCACAAATTTTAGACCCATATCTGTGCTGCCGGCTTTGAGTAAAATCTTTGAAAAAATCATTCTTGAACAATTATTGATACATTTTAATAATAATAAAATTATGCATTATGTTTTACAAGAGGTAAACGCTCCACAGCAGATGCTGGCATTCAATTAATTTCCGAGAAAATGCTTGGGAAAATTCTCATGATGCCATTGGAGTTTTTTACGACTTATCAAAGGCTTTTGACTGTGTCCATCAAGAAATCCTAATCAAGAAACTTCAACACTATGGCATTGGCGAAAAAGCGCTAAATCTTGTGGAATCATACCTGAGCGATAGAATTCAAAAGGTAAATGTAAATGGAGCTCCATACTTGGTCCCTTCTTATTCCTCGTCTATATAAATGACCTGCCATTTCTTGTAAAGGAGCTTCACGAGATAGTACTGTTTGCTGATGACACTTCGCTTTTATTTAAAGTGAAACGACAAAATCCATCACTTGATAACGTAAACAGTGCCATCTCCAGTGTAGTTCACTGGTTTAATACAAATAATCTTAAGTTAAACGAAAAGAAGACAAAATGTGTTAAATTTGTAACTACAAATGTAAAAAGTAGTCATTCTCAAATAATAATTAAAGACGAGGAATAGACTTTGTTGATAATGCGGTGTTCTTGGGAATTACTTTAGATAGTAAACTCCAGTGGGGCCGACACATAGAAGGTCGTTCAAATAGGCTAAGTTCCGCAGCGTTCGCAGTAAAAAAGATACGCGATCTTACGGATGAGAACACAGCGAAGCTTGTTTATTTCAGCTATTTTCATAGTATTATGTCATATGGTGTTATTTTGTGGGGTAATGCAGCTGACATTAAATCGATATTTGTAGTGCAAAAGCGGGCTATAAGAGCGATCTGTGGGTTGTCCCCACGGGAGTCGGTCCGAAGCAAATTTAAGGAATTACATATTTTGACTCTGGCAAGTCAATACATTTATGAGAATATTTTGTATGTGCGGAAAAATATAGATATCTTTAAAAAGAATAGTAGCTTCCATAATTATAGTACTTACTCGTAATAAAGACAAAATTAGCGCACCAACCAGAAGGCTGCATAAAACGAGTAATTCTTTCCAAGGCAATTGTATACGTTTTTTCAACAAAATCCCTAGTGAGATACAAGCGTTGTCAATAAATAAATTTAAATCGTACATTAAAGTAAAACTCCTTGCTAAGGCTTATTATAATATAAATGAATATTTAAACGAACCTAGTGCTTGGATATGAGTTGCTCCAGTATATATTATAGGTAACACGACTGAATCTCTCGGCTGCATTTCCAGACTCTGGGGCGATCGTCAACATCCACGACTGTTTTAATGTAAAGTGGGAACAAACCGTGATCCATGTGGTATCCAATTATTTCAGTATTATTATTATTTTCTTATGTAGCCAAGTCCACATTTCAAGGACCGTCATGCTCGCTTAAATGTCATTGCTAGTGGCGGCGTCCATGCGTCGGGTTGTCTCTCTCCCTAAAATATGGCGAGGGGGCCGATGGCTGGCCATGCGTCATACTCGTGAACGGGTGCTACTTGTGGTGACTGGTCGTACTTGAATTCGTGTATGCGGTGATGTTAATTATTTCGACTATGTGTTTGCGTGTTGTTCCCACGAGAATGTAAGTGCGTGCTCCTATTTCACCATGCCTCCTGCTGATAGGGGACAAGTCTTTGTTTTTAATTTATGTTATTATTATTAATTACTGTAGTAATGGTTGCAGCTCCTTACAAACGTTGTGTAAAAAAAAAAAAGGGTGCGTGTACTTATGTACGCGCGTAAGAAGTTATACTTCTTTGGCATTATTAAAAATAGTTTTTGATTGCATGCAAATAATTAATTACAATTAAATAATCAAAGACTGGAAAAGGAGTCATTAAAGTCAATAAAGTTCAGTTTACATTTGAAAAATTAATTAAATAAATATTTATTATTATTCTCTTACATTAAACAAATAAAACACTATTTATCTTTAAAACATTTTTATTTCATTATACTATTTATTATTAAGTGACTCTAATGTCTTCATCAGAATTTCGGTTTGTAATTTTAAATTAATCATTACTTGGTTGTGCATCTACGAGGCTTCTCCAAAACTACTTGCTTTCTGCAACAAATAAGAGAATATTAATTTAAGCTCTGTCCATGCAAAACTTAAAATTTTTTATAATTCATATTATAAATTTTTAACACATTTATATTAATATAATTATATAAATGTGTTAATAATATAATTTGTAGCACATGCTACAGACCTGGATAGCAACTTTCTTTTATTCTATTTAGAGATAGAGATAATTTAAATATAATACCGGTGTCTTCCTTGTAGGTTTCTTTGGAGTTGTTTGGGGATTCTTGTTGTTCAGTTCGACATGATTTTCTTTAACCTTTCTTTAATCCTACAAAATAATGAAATTGTTAAGTTATGTTGTCACTGTTGTGCACACCTTTGTTTGGCTTTTTTAGTATTCAAGTTATGTCAAAACTGATTTATTACCTTGTCATTGTTGGCTTTATTTGCTTTTGGGATATCAATTGTTTCCAAAATGATTTTATTTGTAATATCCTGAAATATATAAATAACATCTATTAATTTAAGTATCATGGTGAGTGGTTCGCACTCAGGTATTAAGGTGTATTATACCCACTGTCCATTATAAGTGGGAATGGGCTCACTTCTGGCAGGACAGAGTTTCGGTACTACAAGTGCAACATGGATGTTTTGAGGTATTACAATATCTCTAACTACCCTGTAGGGGAATAAAGTAATGTTGTAAGCATATGCCTATGCTTGAAAGGTTGAACCTTGAACATCACCATACATCATATTTATAATTAACATTCCTACCTCGACACCATCACAATCAAATTCATTGAAATCTACTTCAAACCATTGTGTCTCGAGAAGGTGATGGTGGCTTTGTTCCACCTCCAGTTTTTGATGTTTCA